AAAATTATTTGTCGTCCCCATAGGTTAACATGGGGAAATTGGCTTACTTTGTTCACTTGCCATGTAAAAACGTGCAATCCAATAATGGTGGTTCGTGGTTATTATAACACTTCGACATTAGCTTTATGCAACCCTAACCCCCACCCCTCCCTACAACAAACACAGTAGGCTGTGAATAAGGGTCTCGCAAATCATCCATTTGCTCAATAAATAGTCACGTGATCATAAAAAAAATTTTATGTCAAAAAAATTGCCCGACGTGGTTCTATATATGTGTGAAGTTTCAATATTGTCACTCCAACAGTTCCAGAGGAATCGACCAAGAAACACAACCGGAAAATTTTGAAGGCCTTTATATTATCAGAATTATTTAACACTAACAGAAATGAAATCACATATTAAAATGTATAATAGTAATTTTAATAAAATGTTTGTTATTTAAAATAATATTTCAAATGCTTAAAAATAATTAAATAGATGCTTATTTACGATAAGTATTAATTTGCGCATTTAATGCAAAAAAATATTAAACATGTTACTCAACATAAAACTAATTGCTGTCATTTTTTATGCTATTGTTTATCTCAAATTAATGCTTCTTTAAATGAATGGGAATTCAATCAATACAAAGATTATACAAAAAATTATGTTTCAAATCAAAATTTTGATTCAATTGAAGACGTGCTAAAAGATGGCAGAAATCAGATGAAAGACTTAATGCAAAAGCAGTCAATTCCCGGAACTGTTATTGAGTTAATTATCCGTTATTTGATTTGTAAATAATGCTGTATTGACTACTTTTATTTTTAGATTACATTATAATTCTCTTTTGTGATATTAATGAGAAAATAACAATACTTGAGATAAAATTAGGTATAAATAAGAATAAATGTTATGAAAAGTATTAATTATTTTTATTCAATAATAAACATGGTAGTCTATAATAAACTTGTGGTTATATTTTTAACCTATTATTTATCACAAAGTAATGGATTTCAAACTGAAAGAGAAGTTTCTGATTATACGGGAAAATTTGTTTCAAACCAAAAATTTGATTCAATTGAAGACGTGATAAAAGATGGCAGAAATCAGATGAAAGATTTGATGAATAAGTATTCAATTCCCGGAACTGTTATAGCGTTTAGTATTAACGGCACAAATGTGTGGACCGAAGGGTTTGGTTATACGGATGTCGAGAACGATGTCATCACTCATAAGGACTCCGTTTGGCGTTTGGCCAGTATTTCAAAGCCATTGACTTCAGCACTGATTGGACGGCTTATGGACAAGAAGTTGATTGATCTCAACCATGATATCCACAAATATTTGTCACCGGATTTCTATCCCTATAAGACATTCAACGGATCGGCGGTTAATATAACGGTTCGGGAAGTAATGGCACATTTGGCTGGTCTTCACTTCACTAAATTAGAAGATCTCTACGATGTCTTTCATGGCGTAAATTCGAGTCAACCAATCGCTCAATTCAAAGACGAGAAGTTGTTATCAAAACCCAACACAACATTTAGTTATTCAAACTATGGCTACCATATGATCGGCGCTATCATTGAAGCCGTGCTTAACAGCACTTATGATAAAGAAATTGAGAAAATGTTTCGACAATTGAATATGAATTCAACGTTTGCTGAAAAAAGGGAAGCCATTTATAAACACAGACCACAGTATTATACGTTTACAGATAAATTAGAAAAAGCTGGTATTTATGATGAGTTGGTTTCATACGAGGGTCAGTGGCCGTGTGGGGGCATTATTGCGACGGCTAGTGATCTATTAAGGTTTGGAAACGCAATGATATCTGCATATAATGGCAAACAAAATGGTAATAATTTTCCATTATTATATTTACATATTATTAACAAATTAATATTTTATTAATCATTCATTAAATAGATTTCTTAAGTCAAAAAACAGTGAAAGAGTTGTGGACTCCGGAGACTATCGGCAAAATTAAACCCAAAGATTGGATCGATTTATTGGGTCCTTTTGAATATGGTTTGTTTCATAGTATATTTATATTCACTTAAATGTAAAAGTATTTATTTGTAATAATAAGCCAAAGGATGGTTTGTAAAGAATATTCCTGTCTCTGATCCCTATCCCTATCGCACCATTAACTGGCACTCCGGAGGAATGACTGGAACCGCAACAATGTTTTTGATATTTCCCGATCAAAATCTAGTGGGCGTTGCGTTCGCTAATAATGGCAATACTGAGGGTTTGGATCAACTCATCCTAAATATTGCCAAAAATTTTAAACAATTTTTATAATTCTATTGTAATATATCGTAATTGCAAAAAAATAATCAAAGATTTTCACAATATTTGGAATTAATTTGCAAATTATTAAATAAGTTGTCAACAATTTACTCTAAAATAAAAATATTGTTTTATTAATTCACAATTATGGTATTAAATTGTATTATTATAATATTACATTGCAGTAATTATCTAATGAAAATATGACTATTATTATCTAATATTTTCGAATATTCAAGAATATCAAATAACTTACCAGTTTACGTGCAGATATGCTAATTTATAGTAAAATATATATGTAATTTTTTCAACAAAAAATACCGACTTGCATTTAAAAATTTTACTGTCATTCGATTATGATAAAATTTTGTTTGTGGTGTTTAATAATGTGAGATTACGGATACTGGTGGTTTATTTGACATTATTGAATATATAGTTAATTAATAATTATATACCAATAGATAACCTTTCTGCTTTGATAATTTTAAATAATCTAATATTATTGTAACCTGAATACACACCACTTGTACATTATTGATTGATTATAAATTAAATTGTGTAAACATTAAATATTAGGGTTGGTAAAAATACAAGTCTTGTAGTATACAATTGTATTATTCCTTGTATAATTATAATACAAAAGAACAATTATTTTGTAAAATTTATATAAAATATACAGCAATTGATAAAGAATTAATCTATAAATATTGTGCAATGTATAATCTGTGAGAATAATACAAGCAAATGGTATAATTTTGGTTTATAAACTATATTTCTCCGCATAGTAATTAATACTACATGAATATTGTACTAGGATACAGTTTTCTTATATTTTACCAATCTTATTAAATATACAAGTGCACCACTCGTTGGAATATTATTGGCAATTATTTATTTCAATGCTTAATAGGAAATATTGTACTATAATAATCAATAAAATATCATCATAATGATAAATTATACTGTGGGAGCTTATTTTAAGATTACATTTTCATTTCATTATAACATTAATGTGAAAATAAATAACTTTATAATGTTTTAGAAATTGAAAATAAATAAGAATAAAAATGTTTTAAATTTATTAACAATAAACATTCAATAATAAACATGTTATTAAATACGAAGCTTATTGTTTTAATTTTAAGCTATTATTTAAAAGAAAGTAATGGATTTCAAACTGACCGAGAATTCAAACAATTCACTAATTATACGGAAAAATTTGTTTTAAATCAAAAGTTTGATTCAATTGAAGACGTGATAAAAGATGGCAGAAATCAGATGAAAGATTTGATGCACAAGTATTCAGTTCCCGGAGCTGTCATTGGGTTTAGTATTAACGGCACAAATGTGTGGACCGAAGGGTTTGGTTATACGGATGTCGAGAACGATGTCATCACTCATAAGGACTCGATCTGGCGTTTGGCCAGTATTTCAAAGCCATTGACTTCAGCACTGATTGGACGGCTTATGGACAAGAAGTTGATTGATCTCAACCACGATATCCACACATATTTGTCACCGGATTTCTATCCCTATAAGACATTCAACGGATCGGCAGTTAATATAACGGTTCGGGAAGTGATGTCACATTTAGCTGGTCTTCACTTCACTAAATTTGAAGATGTTTCCGATGTCTTTCATGGCGTAAATGCGAGTCAAGCTATCGCTCAATTCAAAGATGAAAAATTGTTATCAAAACCCAACACAACATTCAGTTACTCTAACTATGGCTACCAAATGGTCGGCGCTATCATTGAAGCCGTGCTTAACAGCACTTATGATAAAGAAATTGAGAAAATGTTTCGACAATTGAATATGAATTCAACTTTTGTTGAGAAAAGGGAAGCGATTTATAAACACAGACCACAGTATTATACGTTTGCTACTAAATTGGAAAAATCTGGTATTTATGATGAGTTGGTTTCATATGAGGGTCAGTGGCCGTGTGGGGGTATTATTGCAACCGCTAGTGATATATTAAGGTTTGGAAACGCAATGATATCCGCATATAATGGCAACCAAAATGGTAATAATATAATCATATTAAAATTATTAACAAATTAGTGTTTTATTGATCATTTATTTAATAGATTTCTTAAGTGAGAAAACAGTGAAAGAGTTGTGGACTCCGGAGACTATCGGCAAAATTAAACCTAAAGTTTGGGTCGAAGTATTGGGTCCTTTTGAATATGGTTTGTATTCATAGTATATTTATATTCACTTTAATGTAAAAGTATTTATTTGTAATTTTTAGGCAAAGGATGGTTTGTAAAGAATATTCCTGTCTCTGATCCCTATCCCTATCGCACCGTTTACTGGCATTCGGGAGGATTGACTGGAACCGCAACAATGCTTATGATATTTCCCGACCAAAATCTAGTGGGCGTTGCGTTCGCTAATAATGGCAATACCACTGGTTTGGATAAACTTATCCTAAATATTGGCAAAAATTTTAAACAATTTTTATAATTTTATTGTCATATAATCAGATTTTCACAATATTTGAAATTAATTTGTTAATTATTATATTATTTTTTAAAAATTGCTTTAAAATAATAATATTGTTTTATAATTTACAATTATGTTATTGAATTGTATTATTATAATATTGTTTTGCAGTAATTAGCTATTAAAATATGACTATTATTATCTAATGATATTGGTATATTCAATAATGTTAAATAAACTACCAGGTCAATTGCAGATAGATGATTTTTAGTTAAATATTTTGATATAATTTGTTCAACAAAACATTTTTTGGTAAAATTTTGTTTTTAAAGTCTAAGAATATAAGCTAAATATAAAATTAATTTCGGAGTTTTATTTTTACTAAAACTAACATAGTAGTTTATTTGACATTATTAAATATACAGTTTATTAAATATCAATAGATAACCTTGCTTTGATAATTTTAAATAATCTAATATTTTTGTAGCCTGTATTATTGTAACACGTGTACATTATTGATTGGTTATAAATTAAATTGTGTAAACATTAAATATTAGGGTTAGTAAAAATACAAAGTTTGTATTATACAATTGTATTATTTGTATAATACAAAACAATCGTCTTTTTATATAAAGTAAATTTAAAATAAATCAGAGTAAAAATGTTTTAAATTTATTAATAATAAACATGTTATTAAATACTAAACTTGTTATTTTAATTGTAAGCTATTATTTAAAAGAAAGTAATGGTTTTCAAACTGAACGTGAATTTAAACGATTCACTGATTATACGAAAAAATTTGTTTCAAATCAAAAGTTTGATTCAATTGAAGACGTGATAAAAGATGGCAGAAATCAAATGAAAGACTTAATGCAAAAGCAGTCAATTCCCGGAACTGTTATTGGGTTTAGTATTAACGGCACAAATGTGTGGACCGAAGGGTTTGGTTATACGGATGTCGAGAACGATGTCATCACTCATAAGGACTCGATCTGGCGTTTGGCCAGTATTTCAAAGCCATTGACTTCAGCACTGATTGGACGGCTTATGGACAAGAAGTTGATTGATCTCAACCACGATATCCACACATATTTGTCACCGGATTTCTATCCCTATAAGACATTCAACGGATCGGCAGTTAATATAACGGTTCGAGAAGTTATGTCACATTTGGCTGGACTTCACTTCACACAATTGGAATTGGATTGGAATCATGTCTATCGAGGGGTAAATGTGAGCCAAACAATCGCTCAGTTTAAAGACGAGAAACTATTATTTAAACCAAATACTGAATGGATTTATTCAAACTATGGCTATTCATTGGTCGGCGCTATCATTGAAGCCGTGCTTAACAGCACTTATGATAAAGAAATTGAGAAAATGTTTCGACAATTGAATATGAATTCAACTTTTGCTGAGAAAAGGGAAGCGATTTATAAACACAGACCACAGTATTATATGTTTACAAATACATTAGAAAAAGCAGAAATTGCTGACGAGTTGGCCCCATATGAGGGCTGGTGGCCATCAGGCGGTCTAATAGCGACCGCCAGTGATTTGTTAAGGTTTGGAAATGCAATGATATCCGCATATAATGGCAAACAAAATGGTGATAATTTTTACAATAATATTAAAATTATTAATTAATAATTATTTGATTATTCATTTATTTAATAGATTTCTTAAGTAAGGAAACAGTGAAAGAGTTGTGGACTCCGGAGACCATTGGAAAAATTAAACCCAAAAATTGGATTGAATATGATATCAATTTATTGGGTCCTTTTGAATATGGTTTGTATTAATAGTATATTTATATTGACTTTTATTTGGAAAATAATTCTTTATAATAATAAGCCAAAGGATGGTTTGTAAAGCATATCTCGGACTCCGATCCCTATCCCTATCGCACCGTTTGCTGGCATTCGGGAGGAATGACTGGAACCGCGACAATGCTTATGATATTTCCCGACCAAAATCTAGTGGGCGTTGCGTTCGCTAATAATGGCAATACTGAGGGCTTGGATCAACTCATCCTAAATATTGCCAAAAATTTTAAGCAATTTCTTTAACTCTGTTGTAATATAATTGAAATGAATAATTAAAGAGTTCACAATATTTGTAATTAAGTTGCAAAATATTTTACTATTTGTAAAGAAATCACTCTAAAATAGTAATATTTACATTAATAAAACATATTTGTTTAATTACAATTGTAATTTATTTTCAAATATTGTTCCTTAAGTTGATTTTAGTTAATTGTTTTATTTCAAACTAATATAAATATTATGTAAAATTATTACAAAAATTGTTTCAAATTTTGCGCCACATGTAATATTAATTCACGCAAACGTTTAGTATCGCCTTTATTGGCGAAGGCAACGCCCACTATATTCTGGTCGGGGAATAAAGTTAACATGGTTGAAGTTCCAGTTATTCCTCCGGCGTGTCCTATAATCGTCTTATAGGGATAGGGATTGGATTTAGGGATGTATTGCACAAACCATCCTTTGCCTAATCAAACAAGTTGTTTCAACACTCAAATTATATAAAATATAACTAAATTCATATATTAATAATACCATATTCAATATCACCCGCTTCTATGGGTTTAATTTTGCCCATAGTCTCCGGAGTCCACAACTCTTTCACTGTTTCCGCACTCAAAAACTCTGTTAAATGAAATGTTTAAATAAAAAACTAAAATATTATATAACAGTAATAATTCATACAATTAATTACAATAATAATAATTAATACCTTTATTTTTGCCCATATATGACAATATAATTGCGTTTCCAAATCTAACCATATCACTGGCCGTAGAAATTATTCCGCCTGCGGGCCAATGACCCTCGTATGAGCACAACTCGTCAATTATATCTGATTTTTCTAATTTAGTTGTAAACGTATAATACTGTGGTCTGTGTTTATAAAGCGCTTCCCTTTTCTCAGCAAACGTTGAATTCATATTCAATTGTCGAAACATTTTCTCAATTTCTTTATCATAAGTGCTGTTAAGCACGGCTTCAATAATAGCGCCGACCATTTGGTAGCCGTAATTAGAGTAATTGAATGTTGTATTGGGTTCTGATATTAACTCATCGGCTTTAAATTGACTGATAGTTTGGCTTACATTTACCGCTCGGAAAACTTGATTCAAATCCTCGTCTTTCATAACACGTAGTCCAGCCAAATGTGACATCACTTCCCGAACCGTTATATTAACCGCCGATCCGTTGAATGTT